TAGGGATATTATCCCCTCGAAATWGGAGACCAGAGAAACGTTCAAAAAGTTTCATGTAGCGCTTTCTATCTTTGTAGATTAGAAAATTGAACTAAGAGTGTATACCTAAAAAAGGGCACTGTTCAAGTTTTGTGTTTTCGGATAACAAATTAAAAATCTGCWATAGAATGTAATAATAAGTTGCCCCATAGTTGTTAACTCTTCGAAATTCTCTCAGGTCAATTGAATTCCGATTAGAAGTTCAAAGTTTTTCATGTGCATATTACATTGTTTAATTTTTAATAATGASTTGGGATCGGATTTATATGTATTGATATAACCAAAGTATGTATTTATACAACAAAAGTATGTAGGTACATAAAWATAAGTGTTAAAAAAATGTAAAATATGTGTTATCTACAAAAATAAATTAATGATAAAACAAATTGTAATAAAAATAAAGATTAATCATCTTAATTGGAATTTATAACAACAAGCATCTTTAAATTTTCAATTTCAAAGAATCACCGGTAGTATYGTAAAATTGGTTTATAATTTCGGCATCATCTAAAGGTTTTATAATACACGTAAATAACGAACAACGAACACAGATTAAATGCACGAAACACGCACTACATGTCTACATGTTAATCTTAATACAATACGATAAGATATTTGATATTTCAACCGATAAAATATAAAAATATAATATTATTTATGTAGATTGTGGTACCATAATAGAACAAAATTGAGTGCCATGATTGTTTGTCCGCGCGGAACTCGTATAGTCACGTCAAAAAATAAGCCCAGTCGACACCACCGACCCGATGATATTCAACTGCACAAATCTTAAACTATTGGTTCACTTATGATAAGCTTTTAATTACCTACTCTAAACTTTCATAAAACRCGTTAAAAYAGTAAAATTGTCAAAATATGTGAAAAAAATTGAATAATTTATTGTGAAATATATAAAAACCATGTAGGTATTTTTGACAAAATATGTAAAATCACGCTAATTTTATCAAAAATCTTGTTAAACGAATTTATTACTATGCGAAATTAGATAATMATTTCGTGATGAACATAATATGTTATAATAATTATATTATATTGTGTATTGTGTACTTCAGATATCTACGTGAGACGATATCTTGTAATTAGTACATATTACTCGTATTAAAGTTTAATATACTAATAAGAATCATAATTATTGCGATGATAGTTTAACGTATAATAAAATATTTTTTTTAAACTTTTTTTTAACGTAAAAAGTTGTATCAGTTAATTTATTATTAACTTTGTATTGTTATTGAAGTATAATATCTAATATTAGGAATGCGTAAATAAAACTGTTTACCACAACTACAAATTAAAATGTACAGCGCAATATGTGTACCGGCATAAGTATTGCAGTATAATATATAGCATTATGTTTAATCTCGTTTTAAATGAAAATATTTTCTTTACCTTTTGATAACGAAAATATTTAATTCAGTTTATTGTATAAAAAATAATTAATTTYACCATCAAAGATTTTATAATAATTTAAAAATGGTATATTATATTACATAGAATTAACTGATTTAAGACATGTTTAATTGATACAGTTGTTAAACAAAATCCACTTTTATAATAATTATCTGAGATCACATTTTTTTTTTTTAATTTGGTAGTAGCTGGTATATAATTCATGTGTTGGATGAATAAAATATAAATGCTTAYAGATGAATCGTWGTAAATTAATTAATGCTTAATATTTTTAYTTTTTTATCGTGGTTYATTATTATGGGTTTTATAGTGTAAACAACGTATTTAAATATTATCGAGACAAAAATTTTAAAACACCTACTACTCAAAGTGATATCATGATAATTATTGTTCGATTTTAATTTTTTATCGTATTTAATTGATATGATTGAGTGTACATAGATTTAATATTTAAAGTTCATTATACCTACTTAATAGCTTATATATGTTTTTATTTTTTTTCTATAAAATATATTATAATATTGAAATTTAAAACACAATTTTTGGCACTACATATTTAACTAAAAGTTATTTTAAGACTCAAGGACATGTTATCAATATTGATATGAGCAATAACTAATGTTTATTTATATTCTAATTATTCAGATCTAACCTTAAAATATATTAACTATGTAGTGATGTACCTATTTCAATATGAAATCTATAAATATTTAAGAGGTCAAATTTTACAAATTCCATAACATAAATATTGATGAAGGTTGAAAGTCTATAAGTCTATACATATACCTACATCAGATTYATCATCGTATGATATTTAGTGGCATATACGAGATTTAATTTTGRGAGGGAAGGGGGATTATAAATTCTTAGCCGGAATTCCTGACGGTATACTTAATAATAATGATTTAATACACGCATACTCGTACTTTAATTTTCGGAAGCTAGATTGAACCGCTAAAATCCCCTCTAAATACGCCACTGATGATATTAACATATTRTATAAATTAAGGAAGGGAATTTATTGAAATTGAAAGTGTAAGCATTTTAAACATTTAATTTTAAGTTATTATGATTGGCACTCAATCAGTTATTAAAATATTAAATTAACTACCTATACATTGTTATATAAGAACAAAGAAAGTTTTTTCCAAAGTGTACTTCATGTTTTTATTACAAGTTGCGCCACTGGCACTTGCAGTAGTGTCGATATCGAAATAGGGAGGTCGGATTGGTACCCRAAAATCATAATTTTCAGCTTAAATACAAATATAGAAGTCGTAAGAAATTCTTCTGGTATAAAAATGTTGCCCTCCTCTCAAAAAATTGCATTCACGAGTTTCATTTAGGTTTTCCAACGGGTCGAAGCAAACGGCGTGGATCGTCATAATTCCAAGATCCACCATAGTAACGGATATTATTTGTCTTCTTTAACGTTTTGAAATATAATGCTGGAGAAGATTGAAGGATGTTACGTGTGTGTTGGATACAACAACGAACTATAGCATGCTCAATGAAATAAATGATTACAGAGAAATCATTATACTTAGAATAATAATAGTAAGACAATGGGACATGATTTGACACATACTGTGGCATGGAAATATGGATTAAATTTTATAGAATAATAGAAGGGAGAATTGAGGGAAAATTAAACTAAAACATCGTCTGTTAACCAAAAGATTTCCAATGCCGCATTATTAAGCAATACCGAGTTGAAGGGACTATAGCTGTGAGGGGATAAAAGATATGAAGAGTGGAGGGGAGCCGAGTATGAAAAACTAAAAAACCAAACCAATCTCGGATTGAAAAAATAAACAGTTGGTAAATCTACCTAATGCTATTATCAAAGCTATTATATTATGTACATAAATATGGTAATATATTATTATTATAACAGTATATTAAGATTGATTGGGGTTAATGTACTTATATTTTATAATATATTATGGACGCAATAACAGCTAAWCAGGTGCTTTTCGAATATAAATAGATACCATARTTATATTATATTGGTACGAACCTGCCGTGTCGGAGAAGAATGAAATGATAAATATTATTTTATGCATTTCGTATACAGCTTTGTTGTTTTACTGTAACAGCGTGTAGTCATCATCACATGCACACGACATATGGATCGTCATAATATTATTTTTCTAGCCAAAAAAAAATTTAAAAACAAATCATTTACTTACCGGCAAGTAGGTATTAGTGAGTMCATTCAACTTTCGAGAGATGACCGTCGACGTCGGACGTTTTCATTTCCGCTTACTATATTGTTAAGGCTTTCACCCTCACCAGACCGTGTGAAACTTTCCGTGTTTGTGTATAATGACTCCCCGTTTGCAAGAGACACGTATACATAAGCCCCCTTCACCACACCTGTATCACTTATGGGCAGTTACCTAAGTATAACGGGGTACTATGCGTTGTATTTTCAAAATGGTTTGCTTTGATGTGCAAAAATKCTTTTACGTGAATTACACGCAAGCTATATTGGTAAAAACGTGTTATTTATCATATAAGTATAGGTAAGTATTCGTATAGATATCGGAAACTCATAGTTTGTATACATATTTTACGTGCCGAAACTACACCAAACAATTTCCTGCTTAGAAAACACATACTATATATAGAGTTTAAAAACAAAAAAACATCCCAAACTTCATARCATAATAAGTAGTTATGTATTGATAGTTTATTCAAGTTTGAAACATGTGAGCTTATACRTATTGGTGTTTGGAAAAAAATCGTAAATTATTGACTATGATACAATGAACTACTGAACATATTATTAAAATACTCAACAAGGAAATATAGGAAATACTTAGTCAACATCTCATATTATTTTATATACTAAAAGTTCTCATATAGCATACATATTGAATCATGTTATTAATTAGTTTAAAAMAATAATTTAGAATAACCGAGCGATATTTATATTTTTACCTTCATGGTTTTTAGAGCTGTAATTTTTCGTGATGCTTTAAATTTAAATAATTGTAAGCTTAAAACTTAACTGCAAACCCACTTGTTTAATTTAATTATAAACTAGTGGCTAAAATTAAAAAATTGTAAAAAATATTTTTCAAAAAAAAAAAGATAAATTAACATGATTAAATTTTGAATCGACTCATGAATAAAATTAAAAGGTTTATTGAATACTAACATGTATATTATACAGATATCTTTTTTAATAACTGGCGTTTACTGAAAATATATAATTTATATGTGTGATTTATTATGTATACTTTACAGTTATAATTAATTATTTCAAATGACTATKGGCGTGATTAACAAAGAATAGCAATTTCCAATATAAGTGCTGGGATAAAGGGACTACGAAGGTCATTTGTTTCGAAAAAAATGCGAATAAGACGTAAAGTTTATTCAGTAGTCGTGAAAAATATTGTCGTTTGTTTATTATCAACATTATCTTCATCTGCAGCTCTGACACAACAGTATAGCATTTATCAAAACATCTTGAACAATTTTTTTTTATGTCACACCGTGTAACCATAGAAACCAACAAATGTGTACATATCTCATTTATTTCAGATTATAATTTAGAACAAAAATTAGTTTATAATAAAKTAGTTATCGACACATTATACACATCTATGTGACTATGTATAATATTATAATAGGTATATAACATCGCACATATATCACACCGATCGTCCATCGTTTCAATCAATTGCAATAATAATATTAATGATAATGAAAGTAATAAGCATTGACGGAAGTCGTGCAAGGAGAGTGAATTTAGATTTCCTCAAAGCTAGCAAAGCCTCTAAAGATTGAACATTTTTTATTTAAAACATTGTGTTTAATATTGTTTTTTGCTCTTAGAAATATTGCCCATACAAACGTAGGTTACTAAACGTGTTAAGAATTCATTAACAGATAATATAAATTACATGGGAGACTGAACAGCAGTACATGATATAATATAATATAGACGAGTATATCCATMAAAAAAGCACAGAAGTATTTTTTTTTAAATGTTGTTTGTTATGAAATCGTAACTTTGTTTATTTGTCTCGAAAAATAGATGAATTAAGTGTTTTAATATGTTATGGTCTCTCTCATAGCAATAGACGTGCACATGATTTCCGCCTACGGTAATAAGTCTCTCTATATAATATAATAATATTTGAATCCAATTTCTACTGTCTATAAATACGTATATTATATTTTCGTATTTGTATTATAATATTAAAAAACGTCGACAACGATGACGACGGAGGCGATGGCGACTGCAACGACGACGTGAGTACTCCTTCTGTGGATGACGTTGGGGTAGTGACGGTGGTGGTGAAATTCCGCCACCGTAGCCTACTCTTGTCGCCCGCTGAACAACCGACCTGCGTGGGCGGACGACGTGGGGTGGGCCGGGTTCTTGTCGTCGCCGTCGTCCCTCTTCATGGTCTCGAACCCGCCGAAACCGGTGAACGAGTCACCCTCGAAACCGGTTTCGTCCATTTCGGGCCTGCGCTTCATCGTGTCGAACCGGTCGAAACCGCCAGTGAACGAATCGCCGTGGAAACCGTTGGCGTCCATCTCGGGCCGGCGCTTGGCCGTGGCTATTTTCTGGGTGTGCTCAGGTTGGCGCAGTCTGATGCCTCCACCGCTGGCGCCTGTTTTCGGGTATAGGCGCCGCAACATGTTTGCAACCGATGGTGATGTTCTAGACACCGACCTGTGGAAAAAACCGTCATCGCATGACGTATTATTATAATATTATCATTATCATATTATAATATCGTATACTATAATGCAGTTGTTGTTGTTGTAATGATTATAAAACGTTAGTGAAAATCGTCCATTAAGAAGCAGACTTGATTTGCTTTTGCATCATTTCAGAGGTATCGAATTTTAGTACATTCGTGGAGTGAAAAATAATTTACTGATAACCAAGGTCGGTCACAAAATATCGTCAAATTTAAAAATGAAAATAATTTGAACAACTTATTTAATCAATAAGAATATCTTTTTCTTAAATACAAATCAAAACAAATAAGGTTATGCTATAAAATAATTTTTTCGATCAAAATTGATTTGGGAGACCGATATTTACCTTTGAAATGATTCTGATTTTTATAAGATAAAAATATATGATTTTTCATTAGAAGAGCCTAGATTATAAAAATATTTATATTTATGTTGGATAAACATTTGTCGATTTCAACAAGAAATCTGTAAATAAATCCACACCCTTGCATCCACTAAATACTAAATGGTACACATGTATATTTTTAATTGCTGGTGAAAAAAAAATAGCATGAAATTGTATTTCATGACATGACGATACTGTACGTATGGAAATCTGAATTTATTATAAATGTCATATTTAGTAATATTTAATAACATTATTGTTACGTCCATTCGGGTAACGAGCGAGCGTGGACATAAATTCGTCGTTGTGATTTGCAACAAATACTAATTGCTACGTCGTCGATTCATTATTACTTTTTTACTCAAAAATGTTATTTTAACCGTGACAATCTTCGGTATAAATAGTATAACTATCGATCTTATACACAATTTGATCACTAATCAGCATTAACCGCTTATTAATTGGTTTTTAGTATTCATTTGATATGTCATAACACTCATAACACATCATATTATAATAAATAAAAATATTATATAGGATTTTAAACCGTAAATAAAAGTTAATCAAATTGAAAACATAAACAGACATGATATGAATAGAATGACAATATTAGGTAAATATCAATATTATTATAATATAATAAACTATCAACTACAGCAGTCTTATCATTGCAGATATTTAAGATTGACGTTTAAAAAAAATATATTTTTTAAAAAGCAAATATAGGTATCGCTGAGAAGGTCCGAAGACGAATTCGTATTTCGTTTTCACTTTTCGAAGATTAATCACYTATCATGCCTGAAAAGGGACTGGTGTAGGGACCTACTCTCTCCTTAAATCCTTTTCCACGGAATGCTGCCACTTGGTATTTCCCCCTCCTGTTAATCAAATATCATCAAATTTGCCTATTGTATAACATGTAAATACATATTGTAAATATATAAACTTTATTTCAATATAAAAATAAACCTATTATAATGAAAGTGTAATATTTATCTGTAATATTATTTTTGTTGTTAATCTTGCTTTCATATGTAATATTTATAATCATAATTGTCGAAGCTAATTGTTTACAAAGTTTCTTTTAATAAAAAAAAAAAAAAAAAATAAAAATAATGAAAGTGTAATGCTTAGGAAAAATTATTTGCTGTTATAATAAATTTCAAATAGAATAAATAGATATAGTAAGTGAAAACGTAGTTATGATATATCTAGATATAAACACTACTAGGTATACACATATTAGTACATAAATACATAATAATACTCTTTTGATTTCATAATACTACATAATAGGTCAATGTATMTGGATTTTAACATGAAACGGAAAATTGTTATGGTTTTTTTTTCATTTTCGATAATTATTATGGTTATCTGTAAGACACGAACACAATTTAAGTTATCTTTCTCGAAAATGGGGCTAAACATATGCGCATGTATTGCATGAGCGTGCAATGTACGTAGGTCATGTAAGAAACAATATAGCAACCTACATACCAATCATCTAGTATACTTATCAAATAGTTGATTGTTTTTATCTGGGACATGATTTCATTTGTTTTAGTCATCTTTTATGCACATTCATATACAATTTTTTTTTTAATCACAACTCTAATGATATAAAATAAAAATTACAAAAATGAAGCATCGTAACATTGTGTTCCTGTTTTATAATTCGGGTTGATTATTATATAGTTGTAAAGATAATTAATGTTCAAATATGTTTTATATGCTAAATATGTTTCGTCTTAATGACATATTTGTATAAATCAAATAATCAAGTACTTATACAAAACTATCACACTGTACTGTATATGTAACAAAAGGAAAAACTTTGTAATATTAAATCATTAAACATTTTTGCTAGTAAAAACTATTTTTGTTTAATAGTAATTAATATTAATGAACTCTAATATATATTTTAATAAAAATCATTTATAATTTAGAAATGCACACGAAAAAATAAAAATACAATGCTTAATAAAATATAATAATTTATTAAAGTTATTTCATTTTTCATTTTAATGACAATAAAAAATATTTACACCGAAAAGTTGATCAAATTAATCAAAAATATTAATTCAGGTTTGAATTCGGATGATTAAAATTAATTTTAAATTTTGAACCTCAATGGTTGAAAAAAGTTTTATTAAAAAATATTTACTCCATTACAAATAAATAATGTGAAAAGTGTTTTTTAATACAAATCAATTAGATGATTAGGTTGATGTTATACAATTTATGCAATTATTATTTACTTTTTAAATAATTATTTTGTGGGTATAACCATTTTGATCTATGTGTCGATGAACTAACTAATCATTTGCATAATATAATTCGATGGCCAATGAGTAAACTGACTGATGAAAATAATGAATTATAAATAATTCAAATGGGTGAATAAAAATAACAAATGAAAATATCTAAATGCATGATAACATTAATAATTTAGTTTAGTATCTACTTAACTAAAGCGAAATAGTTAATAAAAAAGAATCATTTAAACAAAATGCTTAATAAATACAGATTAAAAGACAAAATGTTTAAGAATAAACCACTTATAAATTTACCGGCAATTTGTATAATTTTTGTATGCATTTGTTATAGGATTATAAATGTTTTCCTTCATAATATGTTGTTCATATAAAAATTAATTTTCACTTTATTATAATATACGTATATATTCCACACGGCCAACACGTTGACACAGTAAACTTGTAAGCTGCAGTAATTAAACATTTGTGAACTAATTCAATGTGTGATTCACGTTTATAATAAGTGATTTTTTATTTTTTATTTTTTTTATGTATAATTATTTAACCATTTAATATAATAATGTATTTTATAGCTTGATTATCGTATTATATAAGATGTTCTTATTTTATGAACGTTTTTCAAGAAATCAGTCATTTGTAAAACAATTTCGAGTTGAAAATAAATCAAGAATCTAAATACGATTGTAATTTAAGTTTTTTTTTACCGGTTAGGTTAGAGTTATTAAAGTCAAATTAAATATTATTTCCCTACTGTAACCAAATTCATTATGATAAATATGTAATCATACTTATATTTTCACGTAAAAAAATATTAACGAATTCGTCAATTTAATATAATATATATAAGGGAATAATAATAATAATAATAATAATAATAGTATTTTACGCACTCGTATTTTTATATAAACCACAGAATAATAATCAGAATGTATAATTTACGTTTAAATACTTAATTATAATACTGTTCAATCTAATCTCTTCTATTGTGATTTCTGAATTATATATTATTTAATTATTTAGATTTGATTTATAATTATTACGATTTTTGCTCGAGTTTATTCGAAATATCATACAATGTTATATAACTCATAAGTTATACTTATGTATATAATTGGATTATAAAATGCATATTATTTTTATGATTTAGACGAGTAATATTGCTAATACTACTCACCGGATATTTTATCTTGGTGCAAGGTCCAGTTATAAGTGAACACAAGTCTTAATTGTATTTATTTGTTTATTATGATTAATGGCCAACGATGTAGGTATTACTGTATAATGTACACATAGTATTAAATACATAATATATGAATCTTTGCATGTGTATTTCAAGATGTGCCTAACTAGACGACCACAATTGTCACGGTTGTCTTATGATGAAGTAACATTACGAATACGCACAAAAATTAATCGAAGTCATGGCTTACAAAATATTGTTTATAAATCTTATTGTGCTAATATATATAATATATATATATATATACGCATTATTAGTCAATAATTTGCTTTTTATAACACAACTATATTTTCGAATAGTTTTTTAACCAAATTTAACCAAAAGTTAAATCAGCCGACGTGACGACGTGAAATATAATTATCACGAYTAGCGTCGGTTATTACTTAGCGGTATTTTCGTACGATTTGCTCGTATGCTTACTTTGTGAAACGTTCACGCTATTTCATATCATAAACTATATTCAAATTGTTTTTCATACTTTATTAGTATTATTTAATACTTAATCAATCATAAATACGCAACTATAAATTAATAATAGAAACGAGTTTTAAAAATATACTCRGAATTYGTCTAATTTTAAACATTATTTCGTAATAAACAGAACAATGCTGTACGTTTATTTACCAGATAATGTTTTGATTATAATTAGTAAGGTATATGATTTATCTTTCTTATAGATTGATTACACTTAGACGTAACACATGTATTAACTATAATATATAATATTAATATGTACATACTGACTACTCCGTATAATAATATATAAGTACCTACCTGTGTATGATATGTATGATATGCATACCACACGGTGATAAACTATAAAATATTATCTTTTTTGTTTACTCTAATCTGGTAATGGAATATAATAATAATAATAATAATAATAATAATGATAATAATAGTACGAGTTAGCTGTTTCTAACGAAAATTTGAGAAAGTCGACAATATTTTACACAGCTTTATAATAACAGCAAACAATAAAAAAAAAAATGCATACGTCTAAGTATAGTAAGCAAAAGGTACCTAAGAGTATTTTCTAAATGTATGTAATATGTAAATATAAGCTTTGTAGAGTTTTTAATTTTTTTATTCATGGGTCGAAAATATAGAATGTACAACTTATATTGTAGTGTATACCCAAGTCAAATTTAATTTTTTAATTTCTGAAACAAAAGAATGTGTTTAAATTAAGTATTAGTAAAAATTTAAGATATATATGATACCACAGGCTTAATATATTTTATCAAAAATCATATTTTAGATTCT